TGTGCGCGCGCGTGTGCGTGCGTGCGTGTGTGTGTACGTGTGTGGTGAGCATTAGGGGGTGAGTGTTTATGTTTGGGGGTGCGAGCGCGTGCTCTTGGCTTTGTCGGGCGCACGGCAGCATGGCCCCTGCACAGCGTGAGAGACACGCTGCCCGTCCCCTATGGCCCCGCGCGACAGCGCTGTTGCGCGAACGGAGGGGCGCCGGCGCCAGGCAAGCAGCAATTTGACGGCACTTACCGATCTCTCTCAACTTGAACGTGCCGATGTCCCACCCCCTCTATTGACCCACCCACCTGGTGACCCCGTCGTCGCCGCACACCCTGCCGCCGGCCTCCCACCTGACAGGTCCGCGCGCGCACAGATGCCACCCTGCTGGCCCTGGAGCGCGGCGACTTCCACCGCCTGCTGGGGCCCCTGGTGCCGCAGCTGCAGGCGGCCGCACAGAACTACAAGGGCTTCGCCGCATCATCCACCAGGATCGGCAAGGTGTGCATGCATGTGCGGCTGTCCACACCACTTGCAAACCCCATGGGCATGGTGGCTGCTGGGTTGCAGGTCAAGGGGCTGAAGCGCAGCTGCGCAGGCGCGCCTCAAGGGGTGACGCTTAGGCGTGATTGATCGGCGTGCAGCCCTCTTTCGCTCACGGGCAGGCGCGCGTGTACATACAAACACGCACAAACACGCACAAACACGCACAAACACGCACAAACACGCACAAACACGCACAAACACACACGCACACACACAAACACACACGCATGCGCTTGTGTGCATACGCACGCACGAGCGAACACACAAACACACACACACACGCCCACACACACACACACACACGACAGGAGGTCCAAGTCTCAGACCTCCAGCAGCTCGCGGTCCTGGGCGCCGGCGGCTTTGGCCGCGTGACCCTCGTCAAGGTCGCCTCCGCCGCCGCCACCGCCAGCCCTTACTACGCGCTCAAGCAGATGACTAAGGCATACATCAAGGCGCAGGGCCTCGTGCGCCACGTGCACCGCGAGAAGCAGGTGCGGGCGCAGCGTGCTGCGTCATATTATATGATAAGCAGGCATGGGAAATGACGGGCAGACAGGGGAGCAGGGCGCTGGGAGGGGGGGCTGAAGGATAAGCGGCGCCTGCCTGTGGTACGTCGGGCAAGCAGCGCACCCTGCGGTTGATCCTCTGGCGAGTGGAGGGTGCGATTGTGACATGGCTGGGCGTTGCCTGCGCACCAATCGCGGTGTCTGCTCCCTCGCCTCAATTGATAATTGCCACAAAGCTCCACCCCCCAAGAACTTTGCTCCGCCGCCCCCCCCCCCTAAGGCCATGCTGGAGGTGGACTCCCCCTGGCTGGTCAACCTGGCGGCCACCCTCAAGGACGACCGCAACATATACATGCTGCTGGAGGCCGTCCTGGGGGGAGAGCTGTTCGCATACCTCCAGGTGGCTACCCGGGGGCACGGGAGCTGTTTTTCGCGGCCGAGCGGGGCGGCTGCTTTCTGGCGGTGTCAGGGACATGAGCGAGCGTCGGACGGCGGCGCCCTTGAGACGGCGCGTCGCGGCGCTTGAGGCCGCGGTGGCTTGCGATGGATTCCGTTTGGGGCCTCTGGACAGGGGTGGCCGACACCTGTGCGTGCAGGGTTTTGCTGAGCCGCATCTCTTGCTTTGCTCCCTGCGTCGGCGCCGTGACAGACGCGCCGCGCGGCCCTGCCGGAGCCCCACGCGCGGTTCTACGCGGCCAGCGTGGTGCTGGCGCTGGAGGCGCTGCACAGCCGTAACCTTGTGTACAGGTGGGGCTCAGCTATACTGCGGGGTGCTCGCAGGGCGGCCCGGCAAAAGGGGATTGTGGGCAGCTGCTTGCCTGCAGCCTGAGCCAGCGTCCTCACACCAGCTGGCAGGAATCGGGGCTCTCTCCCAAGCTGGCATGCCGGGCCCGCTAGAGAACCCCACCCAGGCCAGCGTCCGCCAAGCTTCCAGTACGTCGCTGCTGGCCCCAGACAGGGAATACCCGCCCTCTCGAAGGGCCGCCACACGCTGCCTGCGCTGCTGTCCCTCCCAACACCAGGGACCTGAAGCCAGAGAACCTGCTGATCGACCAGGACGGATACATCAAGGTGGGGGTTCGGCGCGCAGGGGCAGCCAGCTTCTGAACGCTGTGTTCTGTCAGCAGCGGCCGGGGCCACGGCCGCCGACACGTGCAGCCGCGGGGCGGCCAGCCCAGGAGCACCCCTCCCCACCATCCCGCCTTCATCAAGGCCCCCTGCTCAGAAAAACTGTCTTTCACCGCCCCGTCCTGCGCGCCCAGATGGCGGACTTTGGTTTTGTGAAGAAGGTGCTGCCCGGGACGCGCACCAACACGCTGTGCGGCACGCCGGAGTACCTGGCCCCCGAGATTATCGCACAGGAGGGGCACTGGCAGGTGGGGGGGCGGTGCAGGCCAATGCGCGGTCTGCGTGTACGCGGCCGGGGACCAGAGTGGCAGGTGCGCCATAGGCCGTAGATTTGTGCAGCAGCTTGCCTCGGCTGCACGAATGCAAGGTGCGTCTGATGGGTGGAGAAGCCCGGCGTGCACTGTTCACTCGTCAAGGCTGACGACGCCCCTCCTTGCTAGACAACATGGGGCACACATAGAATACAAGGATACCCATCAATGTTTTGGGCCACCCACTATCCCCCCTTGCTCTCCCGCCCCACACGTACATGCACCGACACACACGCGAGCGCGCGCGCGCACACACACGCACACACACACACAAACACACACACAAACACACACACAAAAACACACACACACACACACTGCAGGCTGCTGACTGGTGGTCAACAGGCGTGCTGATCTTTGAGCTGGTGGCGGGGGCCTGCCCATTCTACAGCGAGGACCGCATGGAGATGTACCGCCAGATCGTGGCGGCAAACGTCAAGTGCCCGCCGCACTTCTCGCCGGTGAGCGCGAGAGCGCTCGTGCACGGCGTCGAGCGGCCGCTGCAACACCTGCCGGGGGGCTGCTGCGCCGGCCACACCCAGAAGCCCAAACCCTCAACCCCTCCGGAGCCAGCTGGTTCGGTGCATGCTAGCTGCTTATTGAAGAACAGGACTCCCGGGAGCTCCCCTCTTGCGGAGGCCACACTTGTCATCTCCTCTTCACATGCTCCCCAGCACCACCACCTTCTCCTGTCCCCCGCAACCCCAACTGCGCTCCGATCGACACACGCCATCCGATCAAAATCCGACCCCCCAGGAGCTTTGTGACCTGGTGAAGCGCCTGCTGGTGCGCCGCCCCGCGCTGCGCCTCGGCGTGCAGGCCGGCGGCGCCGACGACATTAAGCGCCACCCCTGGTTCACCGGCTTTGACTGGGCCGCGTTTGAGGCGCACACCCTGAAGGCCCCCTACGTGCCCAAGGTGGGGGCTGCCTGTCCCCCTGCTTTTGACGTGTGTGTGCATGTTGGCATGCGCATGCGGTCATGTGTGGGCGGAAGGCAGGAGAAGAGAGGGGCCAGATGGCCCTAGCAGGTCGCATGACATGCTGCAGGCAACCTGCGCATCTGTGCACTTCATCCTGCTGCGAGTGGGGCCTGGTGGGGTCCCAGGTAGCCGCACGCGCCTGCAAAAACAACCGCCGCAGGTGGCTCACCCGGGTGACGCGAGCAACTTCAAGCCGCATGTCGACGACGGCGCCGCGGGCGGGGCGTACCGCGACCAGCCGTACAAGACCACCGGCGACTTTGCCAACTTCTGAGGGCTGTCGCGGGCGGACGACTTTTCTCAGTGATTGATGCAGCGGTGTGAGACGCAGGGGGAGGCTTCTGGTGGCGCAGCTATCTGTGGCTGATTGATCGCAAGGAGGGAAATAGGAGGGGGGAACGTGCGGTCGCGCTCGCTTCTGCCAGCGGCACATCAGAAGCTGGGATTACAATCAGCATGATGATGTACTCAAATTATTTGCGCTGTTCTCGTGAGCACAGCTGCCAGTGGTGCTTTTTTTTCCTAGAATGGATGTGGGCCGTCGGGTTGATTGATTGGGGTTGGTGATACAACCTTGTTTAGCAGCCTTGCCGTTGCAAGCAAGGAGTTGACTTGATACTTGGTGTGTTGCCTGCCATCGGCCTGTTAAGCCTGACGAGTGGCGAGGTCAGCGGTGATGCGGGCTGTGCTGACCTGAGCAGATGCCCAGCTCGACAGCGCCATTGTAAGAACTTACAACAGGTGCAGGGCCGCAAGGCACCCGGCGGCCAGTGTGCACACAGCAGTGGTACATAGTGGATGACCATGTTGCGGTCGCAGGGTCGGGGCCCGCACGGTGCGTCTGGAGCAAGCGCAGCTGCTCTGATGACAAGGCATGGCAGCAGCACAGGTGCAACATGTTCGCAGACGGACCAGTCAGCCCGGAACTGCAAAGGTGGGCGCAAAGCGGTCGTGGGCTCCAGCGCACTTCTGGGATCCTGTAAGTAAGCGCTGATTACTCAAACCTGCCCTGAGGCGGCGGCTGGGGCGGCAACCACCAGGGCTGCCTCTCTCTGACCCCTTTCTGAGTGGTGCATTGAGTCTAGAAGACGCGTGCTCGTGTGATGAAATCATCAATCATGCATGTGTCGCCAAGGCCATCAGCGTGCACCGCTGCCCTGCGTACACGCACATGTTCACAGGGTGAGCCGCACTATGTGCAGCAGAAGCGCGCCAACCTCGGGTATGTCTGCAACACTTCGCGTCTCGCCGCATACGGTAATCACTCTCCCCCTTGGATTTGACTGCTCAGCAAGCCACACACAGCATGCCCCTCACATCTACAACATCACGCCCCCGGCTCTGCCTGTCCCGCGCCGCGTTGAGGCCCCATCCAGCCTTCTACCGTGGCGCCGCCGGTTTCCTCTCTGCCCTCTGTCAGCACAAGCCCTCGCTGCTGCCACTCACCGCGGTCAACGCGTTGCAGCCGCACCCGCCCCCGGAACGCTGCCCCCGGCCAAGCCAGTGCACTCCGCCCTCAACTCCTCGTTGACAGCTCCCGCCCCAATTGCCTCACCGCCGCCGCCGCCACCGCCGCCGCCGACGCAGCTGCTGTCGCGCCGCGTCCTGGAGGGCTTCCAGAGTGTCATGGCGCGCGCGGCGCCCTCTCCGCGGCTCTCGTGGCCGAGGCCCCACTCCTCCGCCACCACGTGCAGGCGGTAGCGGTCCGATGACGTCAGCGCCTCAGGGAGCGTGATCTTGGGAAGCCGGCGGGGGAGCGCCAGGATGAAACATTGATTTTGAGTATTTAATTGAGAGGCGAGCGTAGGTCATGTCAAACCGTGTCGTCAAACGCAAGTGAGCACGGGCCCAGCACTCTGCGGCTGCCCAGCTGCCTCACTGCAAATCGTCGGCTCAAGGTCACGACCACACCCCTCCGCTCCGCTCTGCCGCGGGGTCGCCCTCCACGCCTCAAACCCAACAGAGCCCGCAGGCACCGCCGCCGCACCTCGCGTTGTCGCGGATCGTTGACAAAGGCTTTCAGCAGGCGCTTCACTGCAAAGTTCACGCCCCGCTCCTGCCTCACGCCCCGCGACGCGCACTCGTCGCCGCTGTCGCTGGCGCCGTCTCCTTCCTCGCTTCCTTTGCTCCGTCGCCTGCGCCCGGCCCGGCCGCCCCTGCCGCCGCCGCGGCCTCCGCCGCTGGCGCTGCTGCACGCCCGGCTGCTGGCCCCAGCAGCCGCCCGATCACCACTGCTGCAAGCGCCACTCGGCGCACACCCGGCATCTCTTGCAACGCCACCGCAGCAGCCTCCGCCAGTGCAACGGCCGCCTGCCGCCCCACAAGCAGCCGTCGGCGCGGCGGCCCCGGGCAGCGCCGCACTGCATGTGTGCAGGCTGCCGTTGCTCGTCTCAGGTGACTGTGGCTCCAGCCCGCCCCCGCCACCCCCACTGCCGCCAGCTGGTGAAAGCCCTGGCCACCCGCCACCCCCGCCGCTGCTCCGTCCGCCGCCACGCCCCCCGCCCCTGCGGCGCCCGCCACGGTCGCCGCCGGGCGGCCCGCCTGGGCTCTCGCCGCCGTCGTCGCAGCCGCCGGTGCTGACGCCGCTGCTGGCGCGGGACAGGCTCGGGCAGTGGCGGCGGGTCGGGCGCCAGCCCGTCACTGCGCAGCAGTGGTCGGTGCCTGCGGTTCGTCGACGGGAGGCGCCGCGCACAATGTATCAGGGCCCCGCTGACGAGCAAGAGCCCTGAGACAGGGAACAGCCCGATTCAGGCAACCTTCTAATTCCTACAGCTGGCTCATTTACACACACACACACACACACGCACACACATGCTCACACACCACACACACATCATCACACTCACATGCACATGCACATGCACCCCCTCAAACACACACCAGCACGCCACAGCAGTGACACACCATGGCAATCAGGGCACCATGCGCGTGGAGCTTCAGCACAGCTGCAGCGAGAGTGATAGTGGGGGCGTGCGCGCGCCGGCGACCCATGCATGCACTCAGATTAGAGGATGCGCCGAGCAAGCAGGGGCCCTCACCGCACGCGACAGCCGTAACGCGCATCCCTCTGAGCGCCTTGACCTCCCTGGCTGTGGTGGCCTTGGATGTCGAGTTGAGGCCCAGCTGGCCCGCCTTGCCTGGGGGAATCGGGTGTGGTTTCGGGGCGGGCGCGGTGGAGGTGATGACATGAATGGAATGGAGACTCTGGTGACAACAGGCGCGACTCCTCCTTGCATCAGAGTGGCACGGTAGGCCCAAGCATCAAGAAATGGAGAATCCAGCCTCTTGCAACCTCACATGGCCAGGCCCCCGCCCCCTGAAACGCGCACCCGTGCCCCAGGTGAACAGGCGCCCCGCGTCGTCCACCGCCGCCGCGA